GGGGGCGCCTGACCCAGCCCGGGAGTCCGAAGGGGCTTCCTGGAGGAAGGGCCCCCTGAGCGGAGACTTCGCTGATGGGTTAGTATTAGTCACTTCCTGAAAGGATCGTATCACACTGTTCCAACTTGCAACTCTGATTACTAAGGAAATAGAACATTGGCTGTGAGTTTATTGGTCTTCTATATTTCGTCTTCTGCGGAGCGCTTGCTCATATCCTCTGCCCATTTTTAAAAATGGGTTGTGTGCCTTTTTTTTATTACTATTAATTTGTAGGAGTACTCTATGGGTTCCGATTCTAATCCTTACTCAGTTACGTATATTGTGAATGTTTCCTCCCGGTTTGTACTTGGCCTTTGAAACTTTATTTAGTTATTTTTGCCTCAGAAGTTTTTTGTGTTTATTTTACACGGATGTATCAATCTGTTCCATCCTGACTTTTGTTTTTGGGTGTTGTTTTAAGAGCCAAGGTCAGAAGTATATCTTTTTTTTTCCAAAATGTATTTATTGTAAAGGTGAGGTCTCACCAAGTTGCCCAGGATGGTCTTGAACCAGTGGACTCAGGCAATACTCTCAGTCTCTGCCTCTCAAAGTGCTGGGCTTATAGGTGTATTATAGGCATGAGCCACCGCACCCAGCAGAAGTATAACTTTTTTTTTTTTTGAGTTGGAGTCTCACTCTGCCACCCAGACTAGAGTGCAGGGGCCGCTCCCGGCCACCGCAGCCTCGACCTGCTGGGCTCCGGCGATCCTTCCGCCTCAGCCTTCCAAGTAACTGGAACTACAGGCGCGCACTACGACTAATTTTTGATTTATTGTAGAGATGAGGTCTCGCCAAGTTGCCCAGGCTGGTCTCGAACCCGTGGGCTCAGGCGGTCCTCTCACCTTGGCCTCCCAAATTGCTAGGATTATAGGCATGAGCCACCGTGCCCAGCCTTATTTTATTTTTGTTGATCTCTGTATTTGTTTCTTCCCTCCATGTGGCTGACCATCTTCTCCCATCTTTTTTTTTTTTGTTGAATCAGAGTCTCACTCTGTCCCCCAGACTGGAGTGCAGTGGCACAATCACAGCTCACCGCAGCCTCGATCTCCTGGGCTCAAGCAATCCTCCTGCCTCAGCCTCCCCAGTAGCTGGGGTGCCACAGCGCTGTCTCCTGTTTTGATTTTGTAGAGGTGAGGCCTCGCCGTGTTGCCAAGGCTGGTCTTGAACTCAAATGATACCCGCCTCCTCTCCCCCAACCTGCCTCGGCCTCCCAAGGTGCTGAGATGAGCCACCCCACCAGGCTAATTTCCCCATTTTATAAGGTCGCCAGTCATATTGAAGTAGGGCCCATCCTAATGACCACATTTTGAACTTGTAAAGACCCTGTTTCCAAATAAGGTCACATTCTAAGGTCTCTGGGGTTAGGATTTCAGCATATCTTTTGGGGATCATCATTCGACCCACTACAATTCTCTGTTACGTTTTTCTTTTCTTTTCTTTTTTGAGTTGGAGTCTCACTCTGTCGCCCAGACTGGAGTGCAGTGGCCGCTCCC